CAGTCCAGGGGGCGGGGCGGGGGCGGGGCTACGGCGCCGCCGAGCTTGTCGGGATTTGAAGTACTGAGCACGGTGACGTGGAGGTTATTGGGGGGCGACCGGACTCGGCTTCCCAGGAGGCAATGGGACTCTCGGGTTGGCTTCGCGCGGCGTACGACGGGAAGCGTAGTCCGAGCGAAGGACAGTAAGAGGGTGAGAGGTGAAGTGGGCGGGACTCCGGGAGCCCGCGAGAAAGCCCCACAGTGCCGTGCGCGCGCGCGGAAAAGGTGGCGGAACAGGAAGTGACGCAAGGAGCTCCCGTTCAACAGAAGACGCAAGGGACTTGTAGTTCGTTCCGCAGAGTGGGCTGGGATTAAAAACCCGACTAGGTAGAGACTCCGAAACCATAGCGGAAGTTCTGCTCTATGTAGGGTCGCTGTGAAACGGAATCAAACTCAATAGCAGTGAGCTTATTTTTGTTTTTTTCCCATGAGTGGAGGACTCGTCTCTGCCCACACTTCGGGAAAATCTCAGAATCCCATTTGCCAGCCCTCTCCAAACTTGGAAGCATGAAGCCCGGATCTCAAGCCTGTTCATTAGGATCCCCACTCCTCTCATTTAGAACAGGGGATCAGAGACTTCATTCGTCAGAGCCACCATCCCGCGCCTAAAGCCTCTCCCTCTCACACGGTGATACCCAGCCCCTACCTCGCACCTTACAGGAACACAGGACTGGGGTCTTCCACCCTAGATTCCGGACCCCCAACTCCATCCTTCACCTAACATATCATCAAGACCGTCCCCAAGACTCCAAGTCTTCGGCCCGATCCTTTCCCAGGGACCCAAGCCCTTCCTGACCCAGGCGTCCGGGCTGGGTGAGCTGGCTCATGGGTTAGGAATGCGGTGATCTCACCGCTCCTCCCTGCTCCGTTACCCGACTGTCCCCCTCCAGGGCCCCAGCTCCCCTCCCAGGCAATCTTCCGTTTGGTTTGGGCAGCAGGAACCGGAAGCTTAGGTCCCTACGCAGCGAAGCCGCCGGCCTCTAACCCAGACGCTCCGAGTCCCAAGCTTGGCCAAGCTCCCAGGGGGGAGGTGGCGCTCCCCCGCAAGACCTGCGCCAGCCTCGGAGCGCGCCTATATACGGCCGCGGGCGCGCAAGCCAGCGAGCTCCGCCTCCCAGAATCCGGCCGCAGGGAAGCTACCCGGAGAAGCAGCGCAATTGGAAGCTTATTTGCATAGACACGCCCCGAGCGAGTTTCCCGCCCCGCCCCCAGGCGGCCAGCCCGCCAGCGCGTGGCGCCGCCGGGAGTGAGCAAAATGCACTGATTAGCATAGACCCGCCCCCTTCGGAATTCCCCCTCCGCCGCGAACGCTGTTCACCGGACCTTCATTAGCATAGTCCCGCCTCCTCGGCCTTGCCTCCTCCTTAAGTGTCCCGAGAGGAGAGCCCTCCACGCCGCATCTTATGAATATGCAGTAGCCTCATTAGTGTGGCCCGCCCCTAGACCCCGCCCGGTTCCCACCC